GGGGGGTGCAGTTTGTGAGAGGATTCACCAGAGACAGAAGGTGGAGCAGAACAAGCAGATCCATGAAATACACTGGTGAGGAGAGCAGCAGGCAAGACAGGAGAGGCCTGCCATGCCATGTGGGTCACCTTCCTGGCTGGGGATCGAACTACAGTGTAGTGGCCGCGGACAGCTTCATAGTGCTGCACTTTAACCTGTTGCACCACCAGGGAGGGCCCTATATAAAAGATTTTCTAAAATACTTTGAGTATCTAGAGTACTGCATAGTAGTACCACTTTAGTTTTGCTTTGATTTTGGAAAAGAAAGATTTTGCCTAATTGTATACAATCATATTAAAACAAGTATTCAGATTTAGCAGCTGCTAAAGATGTAGTAGTAAGAAGAGGGGAAAGTAAATTAACATTTCTTGAGCACTTGTTATTTTGTATGTTTTATATACATTATTTAATCTTCACATCTGTCTCGTTCATTAAATTGGCATTATACACAGGAATGAGGCACAGATCGAGGTAACTCAGAGTACAGAGTTAGTGGAAGTACCTTAAATTACTCTTTATAAGGAAATGAAAACTGGGACATATTTTTGATTTTACGTATTGTTTAAGGTATGAAAAAAAATCCTTTTAAAAGTGAACTGTGGGAAATCTGACTTTTAGATGTTCTTCATTTTAAACTGTTGAGATTAACAGCTGGTGACATGAATGGTGTCTAGTCCTGTGAATAGCCAGTTATTATTACTGGTTTAGTTGGTTATTTCCAGTCGTTTTTATCCCCAGACCCATCACTAAAAAGACAGGTTTAAATATTCGACACTGCAAAATGCAAAGATTACCCTCTGCAGAAATAACCTATTGTAGAAGTGTTCTTCCTGTTGACATTTTCTTTAAAATCACTAAACTTTTATTGAACAGAGATCTTTAAATTTAACTACTTTTAACCCTTCTTAGGGTTTTACTTATAAGATTTAACTAGTATGAACTGATGAGCATTTTCTTGATTATATTAGTTAAAATTACCTATTTAATATCCCTTCTTAATTTTTTTTTAATATGCAGGTTTAAAATACAATTTTGTTTTTCCATTTTTTCGGCTTATTCAGAACTGTACCTTGCCCTTTTTATTCTGAACATATGTTCCAAAAGTTCTACTTCATAATGTTTATACTACTTAATCTGTTTAGCACAAAATTATTGCCCAACTTGGGGACTTGGTTGAGTACACATGTTTTAGTATATTAAAGGAAGCTTTTTAAAATCTTTTTCCTCCTCTTTTGTGTTATTTTTTTCCTCAGTGTACTCCTTCAGTATACTTACTTTGGGGGCAGTGAAGTGGGAAGGGGCTGGGGAAACCCTTACATGGTAATGTTTTGTAGCAAACTCAAGTTTGCAATTAGACTTTATTTTTTTGAAAAGTACTAGGTTTTTCTGAAAGTTTGAAAACTATTCTCTTATATAAAAGGATGCAGACGATTATCAGTTATTCTACCTATATATCATACATTACAAGCTCAACTCAAGCTGAATTTGTAAGTTAAATTGTTTAAGTGATATCCTTGCCTCTGTAATTTATTTCGAAAACAGGTCAAGTTCCTTTAAGTTCTGTAAAAATTCAGAATAGAGAATGCATTGGTTGAGAAGGAACGAGCAAAGAAAAAGAAGTCTTCAAAGTAAAGGCTGGAGGAAGTGTCTAACTATCTTAAATATAAATGGACAGTATTTTACTCATCTTATATGTTAATAGTGGGAGTATTCTGGCAAATACTTCTCCCAACGTTGGCCTCCAAAAATTTGGTGTGTATCAGGACTGTAGTTCTGAGAGTCATGGTTCTTTCCGCTGATTTCTTCCATCTCAATAAAAAGAGTACATTCATTTTTATTCACTTTGAAATTTTGATATTTATGAAAGTATTTTTATTTCCTTTTGATAGTCATGATAGTTATTTCTAAAGCTCAATTCTTAAGAAGTTTGGAGTGGCACTTATACACGTCTACTGTTTATGGGTAAAAATGAAAAATAAAAGCATTTATCTCCATGTCGAGTGGGAATACACACTCCCTGTAAGAGGGCATCCATGCTAAACATGGAGAACAGAAAGAAACTAGAATGATTAGCTTAGCTATACTAAGAACATTCTCAGCAAGGACTTCAAAATACGGAACTGAAGTAATGAGAGTCTGGGGATGCGAAAGAATCTTCAAGAGGATCTTGTTAAGCCTTCTACTTTTTTTTTTTTTTTTTTAAAGATTTTTTTTTTTTTTATTTATTCGTACGGAACTGGGGTACAGGCCAGAGATGCGGAGGGTGAGAGGGTTCACCAGAGACAGAGCGGGGAGCAGAACAGGCAGATCTACGAAGTACACTGCTGAGGGGAGCAGCGGGCGGGTCAGGAGAGGTCTGCCACGCCATGTGGTCGCCTCCGGGGCAGGCGGGTATCGAACTCATGCGGAAGTGGCTTTAGTTTCTTAGTGCAGTGCTTTAACCCGCTGCGCCACCAGGGAGGGCCCTAGCCTTCTACTTTTAAATTGGTAAAGTGAGGCACTTTTACTGGCAGAGGTAACAGATAACAAAGTCATATTTTTCTTTCTTCAGTATCTCTCATAGCTTCTGCGTTCTAGGAATGTGTTAATATGTCTAGATTCAGCATCTTTCCTCTTTTAATTCCTCCCAGATCCTGTTATTAGGGGGAGGTATTTTACATGACATATGGAGAGGAACTGAGTGAGAACTAGTTGAAGAACTGTAGCAGTGGGACCTTCTGCCTCTTCTTTATCCCTCCATGGAATATTTCTTCTTTCTGAGTCTTTGCTTTGGGCAATTGTTATTGAAACATTTCGGTCAAGGCTGTAACTTAGGACCAGGAACTGCCAGTGTTTACTTACGAAGAATTGGAGATAGGTGGAAACCCAACAGTTTACTGCACCAAACCAAACAAGAGAAGCACCTGGACCTCTAGGCCCTCGCCTTGACCCAGAATAACCCTGGTTCCTGCCCAACTTCACTATGAACTTTGATTTCAGGCAGTATAACAATTTAATGTCATTTCTCTATTAGATGCCATGCCTATTTCTCCTTAGAAAGAGAGGAAATTTTGCTAGAGGTGGTAGAAGTTAGCTTGAATCGAGACCAATTTATATAATATTTTGCTATCTAACCTTCCGAGCAAGAACCATCTGGTCTTCATTTGCTCGCCAACTTAATCATAACCCATCCACCCACCCTTTGTGCAAGGCTCCATTTTAGGAATTGATTTTCCAGATCTGCTCACACATACAGTTTGAATATTAGTGTCTCCCTTGAGAATTCATCATCTCTTGCCTGGCTCTTGCTATAGCTTGATGATATGGTACTCTCTCCTAAGTAATAGACATGGTACCTAGATTGGATATTGAATGATGGCATTTCCTTTAAATTTGCTTATCTTTTATTCTTCCACTTTCAAGGCTTTGGACCCTGTTCTAGTCTCACCATCTAGGATTTGGACAACTCTAATCTGATCCACAGTTGGGCATTAAACTGGCATTGCCCAAAGGTAGCCTCCTCTTCCCACCCCTAAACACAGTCTCAACATAAGGAATATATGTGCTAATAGCAGCATCAGGAGCCTTTGTGGTTCTGAGTACCAGCAGCATGTATGAGTAAGGTGGGTAGAGTTAATTAAGACTTGATAAATAGAATATAAAAAAGAAAAAGCAAATCATTTGAGAAACAGGTAAGGATGGAAGGATACAAAAAAGAAAATATTTGAGAAGAAAATACTTGCTTTCAGGTGCTGGCAACACTTTTGACTGTTGCTTTATGCTGGTAGTTCTAAAGTTATGATTTGAACCCCCTTGATGATTGTGAATCTGATTCTAAGACATATTCTTTGTCTTAGAGAGTGCCAGGGTTCTGTTTTTCATGGATTGAGAGAAAGACCAGTACTTTGTTTCACTTTTCATTTGAAAAAATAGTCTACATCTTTTCTGGTGGCCATGATCTAAAGAAACTGCTGTTCATTAAATATGAGAAATTGTCTTTAACATCAAAGTGTCAATCCCTCCTGCCTCCACATACCCATAAGACACATATATTCATGTGGATTTAATAACTTCAGGCAGTTAAACTACTTGGCAAATATGAAAATAAAGGTATCTATCTTCAAGTTTAATAGAATAGAGGGGAAACAATAAAATAAATTAAACTGTAAAGTTCTTCAACATCAGTAAGTTTCACACAGCTGCAGGGATAACTTGACGAAAGGACATGTTCAGCCAGATGGCCTGTG